TGCTGGAGATGTTCTTGATTTTTCCCGGCGGCAGTTGTTCAGGCTGACGAATATGGTTTTGCGGCAGTTGTTGTTGCCGGAGTAGTTCTTGATTATTCCACGGCAGCAGTTGTTCTGGCTGATGAATATGGTTTTGCGGCAGATGTTGTTGCCGGAGCGGTTCCTGATTATTCCACCGCGGCAGTTGTAATTGAGGCTGATGAATATGGTTTAGCGGCGGATTATTGTTGGCGGAGCTGATCTTGATTATTCCACAACGACAGTTGTTCAGGCTGATGATTATGGTTTTGCGCCAGTTGTTGTTGCCGGATCAATTCTTGATTATTCTACAGCGCCAACTATTGGGGGGGATGAATATGGTTTTGCGGCAGTTGTTGTTGCCGGCGTTGTTCCTGATTATTCCGCCACAGCATTTCTTGTCGTTAAGGCTGATGAATATGGTTTATCGGCGTTTGTTGTTGCCGGAGTTGTTCTTGATTTTTCCACGGCGGCAGTTGTTCAGGCTGTTGAATATGGTTTTGCGGCAGTTGTTGTTGCTGGAGCTGTTCTTGATTATTCCACGGCAGCAGTTGTTCTGGCTGATGAATATGGTTTTGCGGCAGATGTTTTTGCCGGAGCGGTTCCTGATTATTCAACCGCGGCAGTTGTTGTTGAGGCCGATGAATGTGGTTTAGCGGCGGTTATTTTCGGCGGACCTGTTCTTGATTATTCCACAACGGCAGTTGTTCAGGCTGATGATTATGGTTTTGCGCTAGTTGTTGTTGCCGGATCTAGTCTTGATTATTCCACGGCGCCAAATATTCAGGCTGATGAATATGGTTTTGCGGCAGTTGTTGTTGCCGGCGCTGTTCCTGATTATTCCACCGCGACAGCTATTGTCGTTAAGGCTGATGAATATGGTTTACCGACGTTTGTTGTTGGCGGAGCTATTCTTGATTTTTCCACGGGGGCAGTAGTTCAGGCTGATGAATATGGTTTTGCGGCAGTTGTTGTTGCCGGAGCTGTTCTTGATTATTCCACGGTAGCAGCTGTTCTGGCTGATGAATATGGTTTTGCGGAAGATGTTGTTGCCGGAGCGGTTCTTGATTATTCCACCGCGGCAGTTGTTGTTGAGGCTGATGAATATGGTTTAGCGGTTGTTATTGTTGGTGGAGCTGTTCTTGATTATTCCACAACGGCAGTTGTTCAGGCTAATGATTATGGTTTTGCGCTAGTTGTTGTTGCCGGATCTGTTCTTGATTATTCCACGACGCCAAATATTCAGGCTGATGAATATTATTTTGCGGCAGTTGTTGTTGCCGGCGTTGTTCCTGATTATTCCACCGCGACAGCTGTTGTCGTTAAGGCTGATGAATATGGTTTACTGGCGTTTGTTGTTGCCGGAGCTGTTCTTGATTTTTCCACGGCGGCAGTTGTTCTAGCTGATGAATATGGTTTTGCGGCAGATGTTGTTGCTGGAGCAGTTCCTGATTATTCCACCGCGGCAGTTGTTCTTGAGGCTGATGAATATGGTTTAGCGGCGGTTATTTTTGGCGGAGCTGTTCTTTATTATTCCACAACGGCAGTTGTTCAGGCTGATGATTATGGGTTTTGCGTTAGATGTTGTTGCCGGATCTGTTCTTGATTATTCCACGGCGCCAAATATTCAGGCTGATGAATATGGTTTTGCGGCAGTTGTTGTTGCCGGCGCTGTTCCTGATTATTCCACCGCGGCAGCTGTTGTCGTTAAGGCTGATGAATATGGTTTACCGGCGTTTGTTGTTGCCGGAGCTGTTCTTGATATTTCCACGGCGGCAGTTGTTCAGGCTGATGAATATAGTTTTGCGGCAGTTGTTGTTGCCGGAGCTGTTCTTGATTATTCCACGGCAGCAGTTGTTTTGGCTGATGATTATGGTTTTGCGGCAGATGTTTTTGCCGGAGCGGTTCATTATTATTCCACCGCGGCAGTTGTTGTTGAGGTCGATGAATATGGTTTAGCGGCGGTTATTTTCGGCGGAGCTGTTCTTGATTATTCCACAACGGCAGTTGTTCAGGCTGATGATTATGGTTTTGCGCTAGTTGTTGTTGCCGGATCTGTTCTTGATTATTCCACGGCGCCAAATATTCAGGTTGATGAATATGATTTTGCGGCAGTTGTTGTTGCCGGCGTTGTTCCTGATTATTCCACCGCGGCAGCTGTTGTCGTTAAGGCTGATGAATATGGTTTACCGGCGTTTGTTGTTGCCGGAGTTGTTCTTGATTTTTCCACGGCGACAGTTGTTCAGGCTGATGAATATGGTTTTGCGGCAGTTGTTGTTGCCGGAGCTGTTCTTGATTATTCCACGGCAGCAGTTGTTTTGGCTGATGATTATGGTTTTGCGGCAGATGTTGTTGCCGGAGCGGTTCCTGATTATTCCACCGCGGCAGTAAATATATACAGCGTGTAAATGTTAGTCGTAGATGGCAAAAAAATAATTATTTGGTTAATTAAATCAACCAATTAAATTATGACTAAATTAATTATGACTGGTCTTCCAAAACAAGTCATGGAGATAAATATCAATTGACTATTGGCCAATAGGATTGTTTTTTCTCTTTAAGGTGATAAGAGATAAATATCAAATTAATAGATGCCAATCAAATAATGTCACGTCATCAAAGATGGTTATCAAGGACTCTTGTTCTACCACTATAAATAAGTATCATCCCTACACAATTCAAGATACAACTCAAGAAGGAGAAAATCGTAGGAGAAAATTCTCTCTACAACATCTCAAGTGTTTTTCATCAAATCGATGGCGTTCTTCAACAAATCAAGATCGAAGGAAGATGGAAGGGCCAAATCCATCAAGAACTCCAAGATCTTCAAGTCAAAGCTAGAAGAACTCCACGATCTTCAAGTCAAAGCTCGTCAAAGTTCAGTGTTCGATCCGAGATTCAAGTTGCAAGACCATCGAAAAACGTTTTTCAAGTTCAAAATAAAATCCGGAGAAGATCAAGTCAAACAACCCGACTCCGAATTTCAAAGTCAACCATATATTGTTCTTGAGAGAAGAACCAGAGGATTAATTAGAGTTTGTAACCCACATATTTATTTTGATTCAATAAATTATCTTTGTGCAAGTATTTTCTTGTTTGTTAAATTCGCAAATAAGAATTTGTTGCTGCAGTCGTTTTGTAAAATATAATTCGTACATAGTTGGAAAATGTACGAGATTTTCCAAATAAATCAAAGAAAATTCCAAACCGATTAATCGATGGGAAGACAGGTAGTAAGAGAAGCACTTGAATTTCATAAAATCGGCTACATCAAGTGTAAAATTCTCATGTATACTTACTACTGAACAATATCAGTGATCACTATCTTTATAACATATCATATATCATGTGACCGAAACACAAAGATAAATAAATGTGATCCTCTATCTTTGTCAAAGGAGATGATCTCTTATTTTTCAAATATATTCGCACTTTTATAGATTTTATTTTAGGAGACATTATTCTAAACTCCTAATTTTAAAGGGTTATATCCACGAATCCCTAGCAAACCGTTTGATCCAAAAAGTCCGTAAGTCACGATAATCAATTTTTCATGCTAAAGTTTCAATTAGTCAAAAACAATTTGTTGGATTAAAAAACATTTTATTAAGGGTAAATAGCATTAAACCACCAAAACGTTGCCCCTTTTTTGCGGATTACGATCTCAACGAAAAAAGTTGCATGATCACATCCAAACTCATTATTTGTGCCACGTTGCGTATATTCAGGCCATTTTGGCTGGGATTCACACCATATGCATTGCACATGGCTATTTGAAGGTCTTAATTTGTCGTTTTACATGAAAATCCTCAGACCCCTTAATTAATCGTTGAAGCTTCATGTGTTGACTTATTTTTTCTTCTTTCCCTCCATTTCTTCTCTTATTCTTCATCATTTTCCCTCCATTTCATATGTTCTTCATCTTCCTTTTACCTCCATTTATTCTCCTTTTCTTCTTCAATTTCCCTCTATTTCTTCTCTTCTTCTTTATTCTCCCATAAGTAGTTTGTGAAAGAAATTCAAGCAAGAACAAAAATAATTTGAATTCTTATGCGCAAGTTACACATAGAAATTGAGGAACCCTAGACCAGATATGATTTCATGCGTCTAGGTAGGGGTGGGCATTCAGGTCGGTTTATTCGAGTATGACCCGACTCGGTCGGCTTTACCCGACCGGATCGGGTAATTTTCAAGTCTACCAGGTTTTGCCGGGTTCGGGTACCTGGTGTTCTTAAACCGGGTCGGGTCCGGGTTTTAGAATCTCTAATCGGGTACCCGATCAGGTACCCGGCTAAAAGAAGAAAAAAAAATACTAAACTACATAGTCCACTTTCACCTAAGCTAAACCCAAACCCAATTTTCAAATCATTTAATGTTATGTCATCTATACATTCTTTTTATCTATTTATTATTGGGTTCTATCTAATATATTTCATTTTCATTTTGAGCTTCCAATTCTTGTTTTTATATTGCAACAATTTCCTTAGTGGTTCAAGTTTTTATATTGGCACCTATTTTTTTTATTATTTTTTATACTAAATAAATGGCTTTGTAATAGGTAGTAGTTCGAATATCAACATTATTATTGAATATTGGTGCAAAAAGAAAGACAAGAAAAAATAAGAAAATAAGGAAAGAAGAAACCAGAACTCGACCGGAAATAACCGGGTACCCGGTTATTTCGGGTCGAGTTCGGGTAATAATTTCTATGTGAAAAACCCGAACAACCCTACAAAAATAACCCGAATAATCTGACCCGATCTGAATGCCCACCCCTACGTCTGGGTGTTGCCATTTGTGTTGTCTTCCTTTTATAATTTCCTTTTTTCACTTCCGAATTGCTTTGGACTTTTATTTTTTTATTTTCTGCTTGAATTGGGAAAGTTATCAGTAGAATTTTGTTAGATTGCAATGAAGTTCGTCTATTATCATCTTTGTTTGACCACTAGATTTTTTAGAGGATTTAATCCGTTGCTTCTATTTTATTCAATAAAGAGAAGAAATACAAGAAAGAGTGTTGTGGCAAACGGAAAGAGGAGTGTAGCAAACGGAGGAAGCCATTGATATGTTACTGTGATTGAGCAGTCCAACCAGGATTCATATTCCCTTCAACTCATCCATTTTTCTCATCCAAAAACTTCCGATTTCAAACCAAATTTCTCTAGCCTATCAATTAAGTAACCCTTTTCCACGAAATTTGCCACCAAAAGATTCACCTTCACCAAATCATCCATAGAAGCACTCAAAGCACACGTCATAGAGAATTCCCCCAACATATTATCTAACCATCTAGAATCGAGGTTGTCACGGTGTTTGGGATAATCGTCGGCGATTATGTGAAAAGGCTGATAGGGGGAGAAGGGATTCAAGTAGGATAAGGAGATGGCCTCGTTTTAAGAAAAGGAGGAGGAAGAAGAAGAGAGAATGCGGAGGAATAAAGGAGAGAAGAGAGAAATTGAGGGAAATAAAAAAAAAGAGAAATTATGGGTTGTGATTTTAAAGAGACAAAAAAGTCGTTCCAAATCGCATGTGCAACGCACATGTGCTCATTTCCAGCCATTTTGGCCTAAAAATTGAGAAAAAACGTGCAATGTGGCACAACTTATTGAATTCAGGTGGATCGGATTTTTTTTTCTTGAGGTGGTAATCTGTAAAAACAGAGAAAAGCAATTTAATGCTATTTATCCTTTTATTAACTACAATCTTAGGTTTCAAATTCCTAATAAAAAAAATTCGCAAATGAAGACTATCCTAATTAGTAATTAATATTTGTGTAAATAATTTTATGGTCTTTCGGATCGATCGAAATTACTTTTTAGACATAAAGAATTATCAATGATTTTTTTCCATTAATACTATAAATGAAAGTAGTTGTTAAATCAATTAAATAGAATAACTGTTATTAAGTGTGTATTTCGAAATGGAGAAATTTGGACAAAGTTTGGAAACAAAGAAAAAGCTGAGGTAAGGACTACGTTCTTTCTCCTTAAGACAAATTTGCTCCGTAGTAGATCCTCGGTATTCCTTTTAGCAGACTGACGAACGTTTTATTAGACCCACCTTTTCCACCAGGTTTTGACAAATGTACCACTGCTTTCACCATGTGTCGACAATTTTCGTTTTAACTTTGAAAACATATTGTTACTAATAATATAGTCATAATATACTCAACCGCTGCATAAATATATTGAAATGCCATGTGGGCAACATATGTAATTCGTAATTGAGAATACATATGTATATATATATACAGACATTGGGTATGATTGGTGAATTATTTCTACTATTTGGAAGCCGCTGACGTTTCTTGTCTAGTGAGGGAATTGGAAAAACTTGCACTTGGTACTGTTAAATGTAACCGCGAAAATAGTTATTGTATTGTATAGTAAACATTTTCATATTTGCAATAAATTAAAAAAAAATACTAGTTAACTTATCGTCAGTTTTTTTGAGTTGTCCTCTTATTTTGAATGTATCGCCTCATCAATTGTGAAATTTTTGCATCAAATACATCGTGTAAAGGTTAAATTAAAAAAAAAATATTGTAACCATTTAACAAGTTAAATAGGCTATATTATAAATGATACCATAATATTGTATAAATCATATAAGTCTTGTAATAAGTATATTTGTAGCATTGTACATATATTCTTTTTTTTTTCTTTCTTTGAGGCAACATATATTCTTTATTATTGCTACTATCATTTATTTATAACTAACCATTAGATATATTCGTTGGAACACATCTCATTGGGGTTGAAGGAATATTCAAGTGCGTAAACCACCATTGTAATCGTTCACGCTTGGGGAATGTCCATCATTGTTATGATTCTACGTAAATAAAATTAAGAAAAAAAGTATAATGAATAAATAAATAACATAATGCAAACGTGGTTAATGTATAGACCTCATTCAATTCATAATATCCCCTCATTCAATTCAGAATATTCCATAAAGTAAGCAATGATGGAATCATCAACACAAACTTTTTAAAGCGGTACCTTGAATGAGCAGGGTTGTCTACATTTTTATCAAATTACACAACCATGCATATGTTTTTATTGAAAAACAAAAATCAAATTATGGGAAATGAGTTCAAAATATGTACGTATGAACATAAAAAAAATCATGACTTTTACCCTCTCCGACATACGCTGAACTAATGCCTCAACAAAAAGATCCAACTACATTCACCTTCTCGACCGAATACTATCAACGATGCAACATTAGTGTCATCCATGACAATAAACTCAAGTTTGTACCTGTAAGCAATAATACAAAATATTAGCATAGTAATAATAAGATATAAAGATTTCGGAATACATGAAAATAGTTATTAAAACACCGGATAATAAAAAAACACACAATTAATGTATTTAAATGAGAATATTAATAAATAAAAAATTGC